CATCGACGCGCCATTGTTGTACATATGCATTCAGATCGGAGAGACGACCTGCAGCGCTTTGATCGATTGCAGAGCTACTCGCAACTACATGAGCCAAGACTTATGGTACGCGCTGGCCTTGGGCCACGCGTTCGAAGAAAGTCGCAGCCTACGCAAGTCACGTTGGTCGACGGTCAAACGCACAAGTCAATCGACCAATGCATTGATTATGTCCCCGTGTACTTCGCCCGGCATGCAAGCGAGGCCGTGTCCTTCGATATTTTGGACACTCAATTCGACATGATCTTGGGCATGTCATGGTTGTGAAGCGAGGATCACCCTGTGAACTTTTACGGCTGCACCGTTTACGTTCGTGATCGGAACGGAGTACAGACGGTGCCTCCTCCTCACCCTTCGATCAGTTGCCACGTGGTGTCCGCCGCTACAAGACCGCGTTTAAAACGCGATATGGGCATTTCGAATGGTTGGTTATGCCTTTTGGCCTTACGAATGCCTTGGCCACATTCCAAGCGGCTATGACAACGGAGTTCCGACACATGCTGGATAGATTCGTACTCATCTACCTCGACGATATCTTGGTGTGCAGCCGGAGTTTGGACTGGCATGTGGAGCACCTGCGCACCGTTTTGGAGCGGTTACGACAAGCCCATTACAAAGCCAACCGCGACAAATGCGAATTCGCGCGGCAAGAGTTCGAGTACTTGTGACATTATGTGACGCCGCAAGGCATCCGTCCGTTTGCGGACAAGATCGAGGCCATCCGCGTATGGCCTGAGCCCACCAACACCACGGACGTTCGCTCATTCATGGGGTCAACGCTTCATCACCGGGTACCGGGTACTCAAGGATTGTCGCACCTATGACGAGATTACAATCGCCAAAGGTGCCATTCGTATTCGATGACGACGCACAGCGGTCATTCCAAGCACTCAAGACGGCCATGCTCATGGCACTCGTCATGAGCATCTATGACCCCACCGTGCCAACGAGAGTGACAACTGACGCTTCCGGCTATGGCATAGGGGCAGTCTTGGAACAACACGATAGCGACGACTGGCACCCCGTGGAGTATTTCAGCCACAAAGTGCCTCCCATCATTCACTTGATGATGCAAGGAAGAAGGAGCTGCTCTCGTTCGTAATGGCTCTCAAGTGATGGCGGCACTTCCTCCTTGGGCATCGTAGGTTCACATGGGTCATGGACAACAACCCGTTGACCTACTGCAAGACGCAGGATACGGTGAGCAGCACGATCGGACAATGGATATCCTTCATCGACCAATTTGACTTCACACTGAAACATCTCGTCGGCCTCTCCAATCGCGCAACAGATGCACTCTCGCGAAGACCCGATCTTTGCACTATGACATGTCATGCCTTCGCATTCGACGAGGAACTCCAGCGACACTCATCCGGGGCTATGAGTCTGATCCGGATTTCGCTACGTTGTATGCGCAGCTATCTTCGGATCACCTGCCGGCCAGCCACTATCGCATCGTTGACGGGTACTTGCTCCTCCACTCGCGAGGCAAGGACTTATTGTGTGTCCCACGAGACCGTCGTCTTCGGACTCGCCTTCTCGGTGAGTACCATGACTCACGACTCGCCGGCCATTTTAGAGTCAATCGCACTATTGCACGACTTCGACAACGATTCCGATGGCCCGACCTCGTTACCGATGTCACTCGGTATTGCGACTCTTGCGAAGTTTGTCGACTAAGCAAACCCCGCAACCGCAATCCCTACGGAGAGTTGCGCCCGATGCCTATCCCACGGTAACCCGGCCTCTCCATTGCCATGGACATCACCGGTCCGTTGCCCCGCGATCGCCTCAGGCACGACGGCATCCTCACAGTTGTTGACCGTTTGAGTAAGTACGGTCAGTTTCTCCCTTGCAAGTACTACGCCATGGCGCCCGAACTTGCGCGCCTATTGCACAACGGCTGGATTTGCAGCCACGGCGTACCGGAAGACATCGTTAGCGACCGCGACACTCGCTTCATGTCGGTATTCTGGACTTCTCTCATGCAGGAATCCAACACGAAGATGAAACCAAGTTCGGCTCGGCATCCACAAACGGATGGGAAAACGGAGCGGGCACATCAAACCGCTCAAATGATGCTTCGTATACTCATCCGACCGGATCAGAAGGATTGGGTTGACCGCCTCCCCGACATCGAGTTCGCCTACAGCACTTTGTTGCATCCGGCGATCAGCGTGACTCCATTCGAGTTGCACCACGGTGGCCGGAAAGGCCGTATCGTCGCTGATCTTCTCTTCCCACGAACAGCCGACATAGACGCCGCTTGCTCCCCCGCTTCCGTCCGGAAGTACAGGGAATTGTTGGCTCAAGCCCGCGTGAACATGCAAAAGGCTCAAGTTCGCATGCAGCAGCAAGCCAACAGACGTTGCGTGCCATGTCCCATCCACGCCGGTGATCTGGTTTGGGTCTCCGGGGAAGAGTTTGCGCTCGAGCAGGATGTTTCACGCAAACTACTCCCCAAGTGGTTTGGACCATGGCCTGTAACATCAGCCGCGGGCGATGAGCCCGATGGCCCCTCATTTGTGATCAACATTCCCCCGCATCTGACGGTCCATCCAGTCTTTCACGCTTCGTAGCTGGCGACATATACACCAGCCAAGAGCCGCGTCATCACGGATCGCAAGTACGGCAGCAAACCTCGACAGTACAAAGTTACCTTCAAAGCGGCAGCAAACCTCGACAGTACAAAGTTACCCTCAAAGCATGCAATCCCGACGACACTCGAAGGATTTCAGGAGCAGATTTGAAAGCATCCACACCACTGATCTACGCTCACTACGAACGACAAAGGTTAGCTAAGGGAGCTTCACGACCTGCCCCTCCCACCCGGACTTTGGTCCCTCCCTCAGACAGACAGCTTCGCCCTCGCAGGTAAGCTCGGTCTTTCAAGGAGGGGGGGTGGCATACTGCGCAGCCACACAGGCTTGCAGGGCCCAACCAGCGTTTTCCAGCCTAAAAGTCTGAAAACAAGGGCCTACAGGCCCTGTGTCGTTTTCAGCCTAAAAGCCTGAAAACAAGGGCCTACAGGCCCTGTGTCGTTTTCAGCCTGAAAGCCGGAAAACGAGGGCCTACAAGCCCTACGTCGTTTCAGCCTAAAACAGGGCCCTCCACGCCCTGAGTCTTTCAGCCTGAAATGGAAGGCCATTTTCAGGCCGTCATAAGATTGACCTGCCCTGAAACTTAGCCACCAGACCAGGGTTTTAGCACAGGCCATTTTTGGCCTGTTTTCAAGACAACCCTTGTTTGAACTTCAACGCCAGGGTCTGGCACGTTTTGGCATTGGCAAGAGCAGCCTCCTGGACGGGCCAGCACTATATAAGACTGGCCCGCCCTACAGGCTGCAGACAGGTAGTTCATAGGAACTTCCCAGGCAGTAGTAGTAGTAGCGTTAGCAGTAGTCTTCAGCTCTGGGCGCTATCAGGAGCTGGGGTAGTAGTGGAGAGAGTGAGATGGTTGGCGGAGGCCAGGGAGACTTACCTGTGGCGCCATAGCTCCAGCTTCGTCTTCGATGTACCTGCGACAAGGCGCCACCTTCGCAGGTTAGTACCGGACTGAGAAGGGCTGCAGGGTATGATTCCCCGAAAACGACCGCTCTTCAAGCCGCCTCATCTCGTATAAACGCCAGGGTGCTTGCATCACAGCTCCAGGCACGAAGTGCAGGCCGAATGAAATGAATGTGCTTTTATGGCATGCTTTGTTTCCTCTACTGTTGCCAGTTGAAGGTAAGCCATATGCCCCTAGTGTGAAGTTCGGTCGCACACTTTTATAACTATAGGTGACCTTACGGCCGAGAGAGAGAGAGTTCTTCTTCCTCTTCTAAGTCCACCATCTCCTCCTCCCCCTCTCGCTACCTGACTTCTCAGGATCTGCAGACTACGAGAGAGAGAGAGAGAGATTGGTGACTTTGGGACTTGAAGACATTTGGGTCCAGACTCGACATTGGGATTCAGACATTTGACGAGGGATTATGTGGGACCTGTACCGAAGACTTGGTGTTGACGACATTCCCATCTTCCCCTCTTCTTCGTCTAACCCCCCTCTTCTTCGTCTGTGTATGGTTGGGACTGACACATTCTTCCTGTGTGAGCGCCAGGCCCCTTCACACCATGGAATGATGATGATGTATGTCTGGTCTGCATGGCAACATTGATTGTTCAGATCATTGGTATTTAAGCCTTCCGCTGTGCTATCTTGTACTATGCGAGAGAGGTCGGTTCTTGTTCTGGTCTGTACAATTACGGTATGCGACAGAAGGTTGCGGTATTCCTTTTGGATGGGTGGAGGTGGGAGTGATGTGGGAGGGGGGGGCTACCTCCCTTAGGCATCCTGGGTACACGTAATAACAATATCCTGAGCACATACCTCTGGAGTAAACGGGAGGGAGGCGGTGGTGCTGGCTCACAAGTCAGAAAGGGCTGGTGGGAAGTTGTGGAAGATTGGGAAAGGTCTTTGGGAACCTTGCGACATGGAACGCCAAAGTGGCGCTTGATGGTCTCTGAACCTCCTTTAGGCATCCTGGTTACAAGGAATAACACCATGCAGAACAAGGAGGAGAAGAGGATGTCAGATCCACACGCATCTTAGCCAATCTCTCTCTCTCTCTCTCTCTCTCTCTCTCTC